TATATATTTTGACAAAACTCGCTAAATATTAGCGTTACCACGGTGGCCTATCATGTGGTTTAATATGACATGGCTTTACTTTCACGGGCAGACAAAACGGTCAATTAGGGTTTTTGACATTAATTTTACTTTCCCATAAAAGAGACCTTCTTGGTCAATTGTACAGCTAATTGATGTAATGATTTGCATTAAAGAACTGTCGACATTTGTTTATGGAATGTCTTATTTGCATGAATTCAAAGTGTTTGTTTTGTTTGTTTTTTATGCTTACATAATGTGCTGTAAAACACGTCGTTTGTGCACGAAAAAACATAGTACAGTAGTTAAATCGTCAGAAATTGAAGATACCATTTGTTTTGAATGATAATCTTTGCATTTTTTTGTTTTCTTTTTATATTTGATATATAGATATGTTACTGGTTTAGGTTTATTCCAAAATGTAGGTAAATTCAACTGTCATTTCATTGATTGATTGATTTATATCTCATCTAATCCAAATTGATGACTTTCTTACATATAAAATCAGACTGCATACATACATGCCAACATTAAAATACTACATGCCAACATTAGAATATGAGGTACGTTCTTCAACATTGAATTTCAATATTACGACAGAAGGCCAAAATAAGGCCAAAAATAAAATTATGTTTGTTTCCCCTTCTCGACCAATTAAAATCAGGGTTGGGTAGGTAGGTAAAATTAAAAAAATATATATTTTTTTTGTATATGCAGGCCTCGACACTAACTTTTTTAGAAAGTGGTAAGCCGGACCACTAGATTTGAAATTTAGGTGGTCCTTCCAGAAGTAAGGTGGTCAATTATTATTATTATATAATTTCCTGCAGATTTAGAAAAAAAATATGCTTAAAAAAATTGATGACAAAGATTTTTTATTGATACCTTTAAAGAAAACAGGTGTTTTCAGACATACTGTATATATTAATCTAATCAGAAATTAAGGAGAGCAAGTCAGTAGGTATTCTATCGTAATGTTATTTGGAACATTTTGGTTTTTTAATCTCATTCAAAAATACAGAACAAGGCTTTTATTTGTGTAAATTTTTATATTGAAATGATTTCTCCCTCAACTCTGTCTATTATTCGGATATTCATTGCTGTCTTATTATCATGATAATTACTTGTATCTTCTATATATTAACATTTTAAGAAAACTGATAAATAACCTTATTTTTGTCTTTGAAGACAAGGAAATATCGAAATATCTAAAGGATAAAAAATAATAACAACGTAATACGGGGAAGTCAAAGACCGGGCCCGCGAAGCGGGTCCGGGCTTTGGCTTGCCCGGCTATAGACTACACGTGTATATTTAAAAGAAAATCAAATAAAAAACAATTAAAAAATATATAGAATTCTATACCTATCAAAGAAATTTTCAGTGTCAGTTCTAGTCGGGCGTCGCCATTTACAATGTAACTCAATGATAATAGGCGGGGTATTCCGATAACGGAACAAATCTCAACTTTTCGGATTAATAATAATCGTCGAGTGTTCCGAGTGAAAACGGAAGCGGTGCATGTAATACCGAATGACACCTTTACAACGGAAAGAATGAAAGGATTTTTTAACGACTTCCCCGTTCATAGGCTTTGCCTAATTTCATATTATATAACTATAGTTTAGCTTACTTTCTCACTGATTTATTAAGAATTCAGAATTTTTATCTCGTTGACATATATTTTTTGACATTGAATATTTCTAAACTTTTAAAGTAATTTTAACTCTGGAAGAAATAGATCTCTTATCGTTAAACAGTTAAAAATAAAGATAAGTAGCAAATAATTATTAGATGTATTTGTCCAGTTCTTTTCATTTGCTGACATTATTCAAATATCTGAAATTTAATTTTATCCGATATCCTATACATGACTAGTATCATAATTAATCCAACGATGCATAATTTCTTGCATCATTTGAATGAATTTTGTACCTAAATCATAACACTAATTTAACGTGCAAAAAACAAAATTTTATCGACTTAAAATGAAAGTTATAGATGACTTAAGGAACTTTAACTAATCAGAGATTGATAAACCATATACATGTTCATCGGACAAATGATTTTAACAAAATGTATATAACATGTTCTTGACACAAATTATCATTCTCCAAAAAGAGCCTTGCACGAACCCGAACATTCAAGTGGTCCGACGGACCAGTGGCTTTTAAAATTACGTGGTCCTTGCCAAAATCAGGTGGTCTCGGACCAACGGACCACCGCTAATGTCGAGGCCTGTGTATGTGCATAATAATAAATAACCTGCATATATGTATAATGAACTATTAAAACAAATTTAGTAAGTGCAATATTATATGTACATACTAATGCACATTTTCACAATTGACATATTCAACAATTTATTAGCTATGCCAGCTGTCTAAAATATCAGATTAGATTGTATACACCTATTATACTATGAAAGAAAAAAAATCATCTCCTAAGAATCTGAACAAATCTGTTGGGTAGGGGCAAATTTGTTGGGTAGGTAGGGAAGGGGAAACAAATTAAATCTTATTTTAGGCCTAAACGAAAACAACGAGTTATCAAATAAGAATCTACATGTAGCAAAATTGAATAAAAGTATATTAGTTTAAGCATTTTAGACTAACATAGTAACGAAATGTGAATATTAAAATAATACTTGGAATAGTTAACTCAAGAAAATCAACCCCCTTCTTGATATAGTCCTGCTAGTAGACTCTACCATCTAATAAACATAGATGGTAGTCTACTAGCAGGACTATATCTATATAAATAATTAACTCATTTACATTTGCATCGTATAATTTATACTTTTAACGTTCAACCGGACAGTGTACACTCCAGTGTTTGCTAGCGAGTTATACGCAGCAAAACGCGGATTGAAGAAAATTAATTATTTATCAAGAAGCATTTAACAGTAGTGAAATTTGGCCCTTCATCTCAAGTTATTGATTACCTGTTATTGGATTAATATGAATTTAAGAAAAAAGGGGCTTAATGCACATAAGTTTTTGTCAAAATGCAATACAGACTTTAAACCATGGCCTTCATTGTTTGCCCTTGAGACGTTATATACAAAATTTCAGAGATATTGAAGTACAGCATGTAAATATCAAATACAAAAAATGTACATTACTTTGTCAAAATGCAATAGAAAGTTATGAAACTTAACTTAAGTATTCTTGTAACCTTCTATATATTAGAATTTAAAATTAATACATATACTGATTTCAAAAAAATGGCTAAAAGCAAAAGCCACAAATGGCCAAAGCGATTCCTATATACATGTAGCTCCTAAACGAGGTTTGATGGCGAGTATAAATTCATGGCTTTTGTGCGCAGTATTTCTTATAACTATAACTCATAACTTATAACTATGCTCATACAATGTTGATTTTTTTACAAGCATTAAATATCTGTTAAGATACAATTTATTTTCAAAATTAAGCGTGATAAAACTAATAAAACCATTATTAACTAATCCTTATTACTTTATCCTTATGAATTTATACTTAAGGCCGCTATTCCATTGGTACGCGATCCGTGATCCGCGTCGAGTATTATTCCATAGGCACGTATTATTCTATATACATGTGATCATAGTAAAGCAATCAGAGAATAATTATTTGTAGAATATGGCATAATTTCACCCTTATACGAAAATAATTTTGTATCATCAAAGAATAAAGGTAGAAAAAAAGGAACAAACATTATATACCAGTTATGTTTTTGATTTCCATCTCTTTTGCAACCGAAAACAGATGGTTTTTTATCATCTTTGTGCATCATACAGTTGTGGGTTCTGCTCTGCCGCATTATTTCAATGAGCTTTTCAGTATTTTCTTTCGAAATCAATAAAGCTATCAATTTATTTCGATGCATGCTTTCGATACGAGACCTACTCGGTGATTGTCCACTTCCATAAATCAAAGGGCTGCATGCTCTGTGGTATTTTCTGATCTTTCCTGTATAAGTTTATTTTTATATACTATTATTCATCTTACGCAGCGACTGCGTTTAACAGTTTGTGATTGATACATATGGAATTTTGCATATCTAGAGTTGCATCAAAAATCATTTTTCATTTTTTATTACAGCCACACTTTATCCTTGCATATCGTGGCTACTTCCTTAAAAAAGACACTTCAAAAAAAAAAATGTTGCCTCGACAAGGATTTTAACCTTAGGCCTCTCACACCCTAAACGAGCGCGCTACCTCTGCACCACAGTGAAGTAATACGTATGTAGCGTGAATAAAAACAAATATATTGTAATTCTAAAATTGAGAATTTTCATTTCGTATTTGTAATCCTTATTAATTTCGAGGTATTTTGTTCACGATAAACCTGTTGTTAAACACTGATGAAAATAATTTAGCGAAAATCTTCTCGCCAAAACAGTCCGACATGTATATATTCCATTACTCGACAGTCAGATTTATTTGTGTACTACGCTCTGGAGTATTCGGTAATCGACATAGCTAAAAATAGCATTTTCATTGATTAAGCTTTACGGAAATAGTCGAACATTTTTCATTGGGTAAAAAAGATATTCATCCGCGAAATTTGTGATTGTAACCTCATATTTCTATTGACTAATGTAAACTTTAAATGCACTGTAATTCGTTTAATGCCTACATTAAAAATTATTCTTTCTTTTAAATTGCTGGTTTTTAAGCAGTTTTGAGTGAGAACTACTTTGCGTTGTTAGGTCTGTGAGGAAATTTTGTGTTAGACCGTGGATGTTAGCTATGTATTTACTGATCTTGCGATCAGAAAATACAAAACCGCTCATCCGGATAACGTACCAATGGAATAGCGCACTAATAAACTTAGCTGATACAAAGTATAATTTAGTGTTACATTTATTAAGAAGACGGCCTATTTCCTTTGTGTAATGATAGCTTAATAACATTTTTCTCGTTAAACCAACATTTTAAAGGTCTATGTTCAGTAATGGTTCTAAGCATAGATGACAATTATTTTCTTTTTCAGATTTCGAACTTATGTGACATGCGGAGTTACGCAATATATAACCGTTTTCACAAGTACTACATCGTGTTTCCACTTATTATTTACGCATGCCTAATGTACAGAATGCTAGAAAATACCTGCGGGAAAAAGAAAATGGCCTTTGACGAAACATCATACAAAAGTTATAACGATCCTACTTCCAGGAAAATAATGCAGCTATATGGTAATGGAACAGAAAAGTTGTTTGAAATAGTTCAAGATTATAGGTATATCGAACAAAAAAAGAAAGAAGTGTTTCAATCTTTAAAGCAGTTCATATCAAGGGCTGACTTTGACATATCAAGGGAAAACAGTCTCAATGAAATCCTGTCTCTTATCAACCGCAAAGATCAAAGTAACATTAGAAAAACACGAAGTACGGTAAATAATGAAGACACATCATATTACATTAAACGTCCAATTTATATGATTAACTGTTCGAATATTCACGAAATAAAGTTAAAAAACAAGATAGGGCACGGGGTCTCGAAACAGACGTTTGAAGGTGAATTTAATGGAATTCCGGTTGCAGTTAAGATGGTAACAAGACATCAAAGCGAAGTAAAAGCATGTGTAAATAAGATAAATGAAGGACACGAAAAAAAAGAAGAATTAAGATCGAGATGCTTTGTTTTCCCAACAATGAAACTTATGAAAGAAATTTTATTACTTGAACAGATATCGCATCCTGGATTTGCTAAACTGTTAGGATATTGTGTGCGAAACGAAGACAGTGAAACAACAGATCTAACAGAACGAGGAATTGCAAGCGTTTTTGAACTTGGTGAACGTGTTATGGTTTATAATTTACAAACATTAACGTGGCAGAATAGATTAAGACTAGGACAAGAACTTGCTGATTTTCTTAACTACCTCGAATATTCACCCCTTGGGTCATTGAGAATCAGGGATTTTAAGGAAGAGCATTTCCTTCTTTACAATAACAGTTTGAAAATGATTGATTTGGACGATGTAGATAATTTAGAACCTGTATGCAGTATTTATGTGAGCGCCGATACTCAAGCTGAATTAGCAAAAAGTGGTAAATCAAACGGCTGTGGATTCAATTTAACATGCCAAAGAGGGTTGTGTGCTGGGTTCAATGCAAAACAAAACATGAAGTTCATGAACCAGCTGTTTTTCAAGAAATTGTTATATCCTACAATATTTCCAAAACTTATTTCACAAGAAATGGGATTTCTACTTGCTGATATTGATAGTTATAGAGTAACGGGAGCAGGTATTGCACAAAAGCTTCTAAAATTACGGGACATTTTGCAGTAAATTCGGCAATCTCCAGGAACCCCCTATACTTATCACCGTCTACAAATACAGTAATGGAATGAGCCTACTATACCCCGGTGGCTTATCTAGTATATAACCGTAAAATTTAACAAGAACCACTAGACTTTTTGCATTTGCTTTTTCTTAAAGCAAACAAATAAAAAAATCTTTAAAAGAATATTAAAGAAAAAAATAAGTTTACCTTTACTTTTTTATTTTAATAGTTCTTTGTAGTCACACTTAAAGTTTTATCTGAGTAAGAATCATTTCTAAAATAAATGACAAAGTTAAGAAGATATAAGCAAAATTCAACATCTGACGTTGATGGTCAAGGCCATGTGAAGCTCAAAGTCAATGTCAGTTCAATCTTTTAAAAGGTCTCGTCCAAAGGGTTGTTTTATCCAAGTACGAAGATAATCCATTGAATAATTACCAAGTGACAGCCAATTAAAACAATAATCAGTAAAGGTTCAATAATTTGACTTCAGGGTCAAGGTCATACACGAATCAATTAGAATTTGATATACATAAAGGTCCTGAACTAAAAGACGGTGTTTCTAGATATGAAGTTTATCCATTTATAAATAACAAAGTGGTAGCCAGTTCCAGGGAAAACAAGAGAATTATATTAAAATGACCTTTGCGGTCAAGGTCAATTAAAGGTCAAGGTAACATCACAATTATTCATTATGTTTGCTTGGTAGCAAGTCTTGTTTTGTCTCAGTTTGATTCAAATCCGTACATAAATAACTATGACAATTCAACAAAAATTCAATTATTTGACCCTGACAGTCAAGGTCATTTCAAACTCAAGGTCAGTTCAACCCATTAGAAGCTTTTGTTCAAAAGATTGGTTTGTTTAAAGCTACATTTAATAAATTTCATAAAAATCTAAGTAGCGACATTTCATTATTAAATTGGGTTTCCTATCGATACCAGGTATTATCTTAGTTTCCAGACAACTAAAATGAGTTTTAAAGGCATAAAAAAGGGTAACCTCATTGTGGCGAAATGGGAAGTACAATTTATTATTGCATGAGAAACTCCGCCTTCGGATCATCCGTACATGAATAATGAATCAACAAACATTACTATAAGTAGTAGTCCTAATTTAACGGTATATTTCCCGCATTGTAACGGATGTTTTCATACAAATTTAATCTATTTACGAGATGATTACTTTTTTCTGAACCCCAGGCTTAGTGCACCGTGAAGCTAAAACGGTAAAAGTGTGTTTGCACAAGAAAATATCATATTTGCTGTGTTCCGGATAGGAACTATTAAACTGTGAAGTAGCGCATACACGAACTCAATAGGCTTCATTTGCATGTTAAAATTCGTATACGAACTTTAATAATAATAATAATAATAATAATAATAATAATAATAATAATAATATCTTTATTTAAAGATGGTTACACATTAAGAACATACAATAACAATCATATATATCTTATTTCCAATGTGGCTTTCTTTTGAAAAAGAAAACAACAACAACAACAACAGGATATGCATAGGTAGAAAAATGAATGTATAATATGTAATTTTTACAATAATACAACTCATATACTTTCGACAGACACTCAACAATTTGTTTAAACATATACGTATATTGCATCATTCGTTCGTTCGTTCATATATTTATTCATTCATTCATTCACTCATTCATTCACTCATATGAACATCAAGATATGCTTTGTATTTTTCTTTAAAACATTTAAGGTTATTAACATTACGAATATTTAAAGGTATATTGTTCCAAATGTTCATGCCATAATAAGAAAATGTGTCTTTAATATAATTTGTTTTAGGTCTTGTCCATAATACAATATCTTTTCGTGACCTACATCTTAAGTTATATATTTTGTTGTCGGATAAAGTCATCAGTTCTGTCATATAAGTCGGTGCCATGTTATTTAAAGTTTTAAAAACAAGCACCGCCGTGTGGTATTTACATCTGTCAAGGAACGGTAACCAATTAAGAGTTTCGAATAGATTTATTGATGGAGATTTTTGAGGTTGCTGTAAAATGATTTTAGCAATTCGTTTTTGTAACTTACAAACATTATTTATGTAGTTTGTGTTTCCTTTACCCCATATAATACAACAATAGTCCATAATGGGCAATATATATGCATTGTAAAACAATAATTTCATATCAAAGTGCAAAAAATACGATATTTTTTTCAATAAGGCAATTTTTCCGTTAAGTTTTTTTTACAAACATTGTCAATTTGCAAGTGCCATTTTAAGTTGTTATCTATGCAAATACCCAAGACTTATTGATCAGTTACATTTTCAAGAGCTATTTCATTTATCTTAAGAATTAATTTTCTCATAATATTTACTTTTTGTCTTGTTCCTATTACCATACATTTTGATTTATCTGGATTTAAGGCCATATTATTTGTTTTGCACCATTTGTCAATGCTATTTAAATGATCTTGAAGTTTTATTTCTACTTTTGATATATTTTCTCCGGACTCATAAAGAGTAGAATCATCTGCGTATAAATCAATTTTTATATCATTACCTATGACAGCTATGTCATTTATGTATATTAGAAATAATAAAGGTTTAGTGTTACCGTGGGGTTTTCCGTTTAAAATCCTAATTTATGAACAATATTTGATGAGATTTACAACAATACTGTTAAACATGTTAATAAAACTGTAGAATGCTTGATTTTTAGGCCGACGACAAAATATTTTTAAAATATTTATTTAATGTAGCTTTAAGTATAAAGATAATCCAATGATTCATTACCAAGTAACAGTCAAATATTGAAAATATCAGTTAAAATCCAATAAAGGGCAAATTTAGCCTGGTCTTCTTGAATGTCTTGTGACTTGTCCCAATGATTGATGTGGCCAAGTATTCAAAATACAATGATCAAGGTTAAAGTTTGTGGACGGGAAGCCCCCCCCCCCCCCCCTTAAAAAAGTCGAGCTAAAAATGAATCCTACCTAGATTGATTCATGAGGATGTTATATATATAAAATCAAAGTTTTATAGCTTTCAGTGACATGGCCCATGAAAGGGGGGGGGGGGGCGTAAATCGCGTCGTGAAGAGGAAAATATGAGACATTTAGAAACGTAGAAAACGGGCCAACTATTTGTTAAATTTGGTAAAACACTTACCATTTCAAAATACATATACAAACAAATGTCTTTTTCTCTTTTTCTTTTGATCGTAATAATTACATATGATGACTGGTGGCTGAAAAAGAAGAAACAAATCAGATAAGATATTTTATAATTGATGATCAATTAGATAAAAAGACATAGGAAAAAGGTTTGAATCCCAAATACTAAAAAAGATGTAAAGGATTGTTCTTTCCATTTAGAAATGAAATTTATAATGCTAAAAAAATGAATAGGATACTTGTTTAACTTGTCTAGTTAAAGATCATGTATGTTGTAATTAAGGTTGTTACCACACTTGAGTGATATTTTATCTTGTATATAGTTATGCTACTAAAACAATTTTCAAACATCGAAGAATATGTAAATTATGTACTGAAAATATTTTTCCACATATATCAATATATACAATACAATATAAAATATGCAAAACTACCAAGCCACACTCATTTACCATTTAATCTAAATCACTCTAAAGGCCTTAACAGATAGGATTTAGAATTACAGCACCAATTAAACTTTAGCTATACAAGCAAGGAAGGTTTTGTTTTTCATTAATTTCTGCGGTCCCCTCGGAGCTTGCACGTCACAGAGAAGACACAGGGCATCGACAGAATGATTTTTGGACGGCAAAAAAGAAAACCGAGTACTTGTATCCTCTCTGATGCCGAGGGAAATGGCCATGCAAAGTAGGCAGGGACGACAAGGAAAATGTGTTAGGGTGCGTTAGTTTTAGCCCAAAGCACGGAGAAAGAAAGGCAGGCCCTTTGTTGGCATAACAGCCCTTTTCAGTATTACCTACTTTTCAGGGCTACCTCCTTTTAATTTTGTCTCAGGTTAATGTATATTTAGGTATTGTAATTTGTTTTTGTAATTTGGCTAGAAAACCTACAGCAAACAGAAAAAAATGAATTTTGTGCTTATCTTCTAAGGTAAAGAATTGTAAGATGAATCCCGGAGATAACTAGTCATAACACGTTTACGGAGAAGTATTATACAACAGAGAAAATTATCTCTTTAAATACAAATGTACTATGAAAAACAATCTTCAAATACTATGAAAAACAAAACCTTCAAAGTCCTTTGTCTTTAAACCCCGCACCACATTATTACAGAGGTTCGATTATAGAACAATTCACGAGGACATGTGCACTTTGAATATGATATAATGATCTTGTGATGAATGAATCAGACTATTGAAAAAGTTGTAAACTTAATCACTATGTGAAATGTTGAATGCCTTAATCACATGTTAACAAATATCATAAATACTGTATTGAATGCATTTGTGCACCTTTTCAACTATGTTCATCTTGTTATGTAAATGAATAAAAATATTGTTTATAATTTGCACATGTATATATCTGTCAAATATGCTATAATCACTGAAAAGTCGAAATAAAAATGTGTTTTCAGATGTGTTTAGTTGGCGCCCCCTAACGGCGTGTAGTTAAAGGCCCAGTAGCCTAGCGGCGTAAAGTTGGCAGCCTAGCGGTCCAGCGGCGTGAATTTGGCAGCCTAGCGGCCCAGCGATATTAATTTTGATATCAAATTTTGTTTAAAAAAATGTTATAAAAACAACAATAAAAACGGCACTAAATGAAGTTATTAGACAATTCTTGCTATTTGAATTGCTTAAAATTAAAATTGGTTAAGTGCCGTTTTTATTGTTTTTATAACATTTCTACAATTGTAAAATTTTAGGCAGCTGGGCCGCCAACTTCATAAAACGGATAAAATCAAAAAGTTCTCTCAAAGTGTATGTATTCTATTTATATATCTTTAAAAAAAACAAGAATTGTCTTATAAACTTCATAAAGTGCCGTTTTCATTGTTTGTTTTTTTTTTTTAAATTTTTTTTTATAGTATTTCAACTGCCGCTTCAACAAAAAATGAAAATAAAAAAAATTGATAAAATCAGAAAGTTCTCTCAAATTGGCTTTTTTCTGTTTATGTATCTTTTAAATAACAAGAATTGTCTAAGGAACTTCATTATGTGCCATTTTCGTTGTTTTTTAAAGCATTTCTACAACTGTAAACTTTAAG